AAAAAAAGGTACGCTTTTGCTCCGGCCAGATTCACTGCTGAGAGTCTCGTAATTAGGTGCCTTTCCTCGATTGGGACGATGTTCAGCTTCACTTTCTTGTCCCAATCCAATACCTAGCAAAACGAGTCAAATGGGGCCCCTTTGTTGATATGGTTCCGGCGAGCGTCTTTATGTCTGTCTGCTTGTGTCTCTGTGTTGAGTAGTGTAGATTAAAGACGCAGGCGCATTCAAACGGCTTTTATTGCCTTCTCCATCCTTTCTTTTTATATCTACTTGGCTTTGCGGCAGTTGATGAGTCGCATCTCACATGAAACCCCAGGGCATGCAATGTCGACATGCTCGAGGTAGCGCCATCATTTGGACACTTCAGTTTGATTGAACCCAGCAAGTAGAGGTTCGTGTACTAGTTACACCACACCGGCAGCCGGGTATCGCACTATTGTCGAGAGCAAGTTGTTGATATTAGTATGTGTCCTTCCGTCACAGAGCACTTACCATAAAAGCTACCTCTCTGGTGGATCGAGGTCGGAATCCCTACTCGGTTCGCTCTCGTCGCCGGGGATTATATACATGTCTGTGCGCTTTGTGAAGTCGTCTTTTGGCTTGCTTGTGAACGTTGTCAGTCGAATTGACTGGTGTGGTCCGACATGTTCTTTCTAGCCAGCATCTTTCACTCGGTTCAATCCCAAACATGTCAGGGTCGCTATCTGCGATTTCAGTGTAGATAGAGCCCAATCGTTGTTGGTGAAAATGAGAAGGAATACATCTTGGCGTGTTGCAGGAAAAGGCCGGCTGGTATGTTATCAATTTTCATAGTACATTCAAAACTGTCGACATGTTTGGCACCTCTTTCTAGAAAGGAAGATGATCAGGAACAAGAAAGTATTTGGAACAAAGAGGACTCCATAGCACCACTTCTAGGTCAGGCCATCTTGTCCTGTAGTCCACAACCGACCCAAACTGCCTATTGAACTCTTTGCTAAACATTTACGGGGCTTTGCCATGAAATGGGGGATCTTGGTTGCCGGGAGCGGCAGTTAATTGTCGCGGTTCACCTCGAGGTCGTGAATTCACCTTTGACAAACACATACTTGAAATCGTAGCTTAAGTCAGATGATCGCCCTAGAAGAACCCACCAGCCAAGTGAAATTGATCCCGTGGCTCAGCATCTTCACTTGAGGGGACTTCCCAATGCCCATTTGCGATTTCCATGCTCGAGTCCAGCATGGCCTTGTCGTTGGAGGTCTCGCTCATGAGAGAAACCAAGTCCGAAAAGAACTCGAACAAGGCTCGCTGCCTACTGCTCGGCAATGACGTGGCCGGAGTTCTTTCGAAGGAAGACGCTGTCTCTCTAGATTCGTGTGAGCGTCTCGTCTAGAAATTGGGATCGATCCCTTTGGAAATGGTTCACCTGGGCTTCTGTCTGAGGACAGCCTCGAAGCTTGTTCTCCATCGATACCAGAAGAGAGTTCCTCGATAAATCGATCAAAAAAACTGTACATGAACGCATTCCACCCGCCAATAACCCTCTCCCTATCAATACCCGGCATAAGACCAGCGTGGTCAACCAGTATCTCCGCCGTAGTCTTCTGTCAGTAACTTCGCATATTCTTCGCGACCTCACGGGTCGGACTATAAACGTATGGAGAGCCTGGCGGCGGCCTGCCGGGGAAGACGATGCCACAGACGGCGAACCACTGCTGCTCCACGGCGAGCTTGCGGATCAGGTTTGTGTTCCAGCAGAGTTCATCGAGTGCCGTGATGTTTCGACTTGGCTGTTCCAGTGGTACAACGGAAGAGGCACTCCGTCCTCCATAGAGGGCAGCCAGATGTTTCATGGATAATATCTCTTTGGGAATTCCAATGGAATAGATGAATGGAACATCCTGGTCGGTCTTTCCGGAAGTAGATCTCGGCCTGGGGCTCTGTATGGCCAAAGATCAGCGTGTGATCCCAAGCTCCCTGTACGACTTCATCCCTGAGAGCGGGTCATTGTGATTTATGGCCCAGGGTTGGATGGCCTTAAGGGCAGAGGGCAGCCTGAGATAGTCCAATGCAAGAAAAGCTTTGGAGTTCAAGTCTGCGGTAGGGAGCAAACACTCAGTCATCTGTCTGCCAGAGGTAGCGAGCCGTTCTAATATCTTGATTCCGGGCTTATCAGAACGATCCTGAGAGCGGCAGCCCCTTCACTTTAGAAACATAATACGAGATTCCTCGGATGCCAAGCCATATGCACTGGTCTGGGAGCGGCCGACACAGGAGCTGTAATTCTGGTCGTTTGCAATCTTCCTGGTCTGTGATGTAATTCGCAACGAACGAGGCGGTCCTCTCGTTCGACCTGTGGATATCTCCATTCCGCCTATAAAGCTGATACGAGGGCCCGTGTGCCAATTTTTTCCAAGCCGTCGAATAGCCACTGGAAGTTGCGTTGAAGTTGAACCCAAGGCTACTGCTTTCCGGTCTCTGTTAGTTGCAGATGAGTTGACGAGGTCAAGGGTCGACATTGGATGAGTCCAGGCAGCTGAATAGTCTTCAGTTGATGATGTTCGATTTGAAGGATTCGCTAAAAGAAACACACGATGAGATAGGAGCCCGATTTATGCGGAAGATCTCCGCCGGGTAGCAGGAAATATAGTATCCTTGGTTGAACATGCGTCCACGTCAATCAAGTCCTATGGAAAATTTAGGCCACGAAAACAGTTCCACGGTGAATGGTCCATAGCAAGGATTCAATACGCAAGCAAGTTAGGCAATGCACGGCGATAGTCGTCAACGGTGAAGAGAAAATAGGTCCACGTTTGGTATTGTCCAGGCGGGATCCAGGTTTGGGAGTTTCCAGGATATCCAACGGCCACCCAGGAAAGGTACCTATGCCAGGGTACCTATGGGGCTCCACGTATGCGGTCAAGCGTGAAGTGCATGGTCATCATCGTTGTCGTCGAGAATGGCGTTGGTCTGTTGGAAGGGGAATGATCGAGTACAAGACAAATGATGAATATGTCTAGAGGCAAATATCACGGACAAATGAGGACTTCAGTGATTGAATAGCATCCCCACAAACCCCAGCCCATGCAGTATAAAGGCTCAAAGGGAAAGAAGAGGAGAGATACAGAGAGATACATAGAGAAAGGGCACATTTGTGCTCCCATCATTCGTCGCAGCGTCTCCCCTCCCTTGCTCTGCATCGTGCATCGAGGTGATTGGTCTTGCGCAGTCCTGCTCCGACACAACTTCCCACCCTGCCCGGGCACTTCTTCCACTTCACCATCAGACTGCGTTTACCAGCTGACGACCCTAACGTCATGTGCGTTTTTCCATGTATCCTCCACTCGCCTGAGGCGACGAGCAGCTTATCCGGTCACGGGAGAACGTCTTGGATACAGCCTTAGGGCATGGCGCATATCCCAGCAGCCTGTTCCCGCGGGGTTATTTACAAGAGTGACCAGACAAAAGTCGATAGTCATTCCCAGGCTGAACACGACGGCCTTATATTATTGTTAGTAATTGGTGGCTTCAAACACAATGCTGTGGTCTTATTTGTATCAATTAAACAGCACTTGGTGCTCTGTGAACGCTGATACGAGGCTTAAACAGAACAGGATTTGACATTACCAAAAGACCGGTGTACAAACACATTGTCCCGTTTACCATCCGTGAATGCACCGATCAATCTAGACCGAAACAACTTCGAATATGCTTTTGGTTCAACAAAAATTATCAAACGCCGATGAACTGCCCAACCCCCTGAAAGGAGCCCCTTTTCGCTTTCCGCCTTAGACAATGTTATAAACCCGCTTTGCAATCAAGTAGCAACCCATGCCAAATGCTAAAAGACCTGCAGTAATAGCCCAGAACCATTTCAAGTCTCCCTCGTACTCCTGCCCGGGAACCCAGACGTTCATACCCCACAAACCAGTGATAATGTTCATGGGAAGGACAATGGTACCGAGCACGGTCAGCTTGCCGAGGACATCGGCCGTCTGCTCCTGTCGTTCGTTCATGCGAATGTTAATTTGCGCCAGGTAGTTGCCATGAGACCGGGCAAGAATTCTGAGAGAGATGCATGGTTAGCTCGGTTTAATTTGTCTAGGACATGGGGTGGCTTACTTTTCATAATGACTGAGATTGGACGTCATGGTCACGATATGATCCTGAATATCGCCCAGGTACAATCCGATATCGGACTTCGGGGCGACATCCCAGCGTTCATTGCAGCGCTTCGCAAAGCCCTTAATGACGTCTGCCTTGTTGCCAAGCAGACGGTACAAGCTCATCACACGTTTACGACAGTCGCCCACTCGGCGAAGCATATCGCCTTCGGATCCTACGGTCGTTCCTGCGTTACTGGCCTTTTCGTCGAAAACGTTGCTCTTGGAGTTGCCGTTGGAAGAATGGAGCCTCAAGATCTCGTCGTCAATGTCGTCGACCTCATCCTCAATGTTTTGAATCAACGGCACAAATACGTCGGTGATGTCGTCAATAATCGCGTAGGAAATCCAATCGGAGTTGACAATGAGGTAATCCCTCAGCTGGCGAATACGTCGGCGGACATTGGCGGGGTGTGGTGTCATAGAGAAATGGAAGCTGATGACACCCTCGCGGAAGACGATGACATACATGTTGACTGGCTCCAGGTAGTCCTCGCTGTTCTGATCTTGATCAAAGGATCGGTAGCTGACAAAGTAATAATGGCGGAACAGTTCCACCTTTTCTCGCGCCTCCTGGACCATGATATCTTCAGCGGTAAGCGGGTGGATACCAAAAGCCTTGGACAAGACCTTCATCTCCGCTTCTGTTGGAGAGAGCACATCCAGCCACCACACGGGTCTCTCGCCATACCTTGGTGCGTTGACGAGCAGCTCTGGTGTTTGTGTCGTCTGGTTGCCGACGACCGGCGATCTGATACCGGTGGGCGTACGGATAGATCCAGCGCGAGAGCTATCGCCTGAGGTCTTGTCAGGAGACTTGATACCGTCTCTTCTCTCTTGTTCGGTTTGAGTATTTGCAAGTGAAGGCTGCCGTGTAGGAGCTCTAGACTCCCCATTTTGCCCGGTGTGAGAGTGATGCGTTGTTAGTGGTGGTAGACCGCCGTCATCTTCACTATCCGTGCTCTCATCCTCAGAGAGAATACGCGGGTCCGGGATGAACAACTCCTGGAAGTTACCACCAGGCTGCACAAGCTCCGAGATCGTTTGACTGTGGATGGTGCTCTGGAACTCTTCGTTGAAATACGTGAAACGATAGGGCGCGTCTTCCTCGGCACGATACCACTCCCGGGTAATTGGCCGGAGCCGGCCGTTGATCAGCTGAGGCTCAGTAATACGTTTGGCGCGTCTTTCGTCGCTGCGTCCCTCCTTTTCGAACCGGCTCCATTCCTCCAGAATACCCAGATCGGGCCAGCGACGGCGACGACGCCTCGGACGCTGTTTGGCGGCTGGGTCCTGAGAGTGGCCTTCCTCGTCACCAATGTCGGAAATCCCGCTCGGGAAACAAACATCCTCCTCGGCTGTCAAGGCAATGGTGTTCCTCCGTGCTAGATCAGGCGACGAGTGATTATGAGCATCTCTATCGTCGTGCGACCCAATGCTGTTTCTTGGGCTCCCGCGCGGCGATGTACGGATGTCGATCTCGTTATCGTGGATCATGACATCCCCAAAGCTCATATTCAGCGGGTCAGACGGTCGGAACGTCGGCGACCCGGGCATAGACGGCGGATAGTTGACATTGTAGTTGTCTTGGAAAGGGGTTGCAAGCTTCGTCCTCGAGGACCTGCTGGATCCGCGTCGACTCACTCGCTGGCGAGGATCGCTGGAACCGTAGCTGGGGAACATTGGTGCTGTGGAAGATCGCTGAATGGACCTGGACAATAGAGGGGCACCCTCATCCCACGAGCCGTCATCGTCGCCGCTGTCTCCTACATAAGCGTTGCGCAGTCTGCTGCCGGTTTGGGGCGTCGTCGTCGTCGTCGTGGCGGGAAACGGGGCCGAGTTGTTCATAATGGAGGGCCTGCGAGGTCGGAGTGGCTGTGGATGATCTCTGCGTCGTGTAAGTAGAACTCGTCACGCTTGGGAGCAGGACGATGCAGACTCACCTATGATCTAAGAGTTCCTGGCTATCAATACTCGTGTTACTTAGATTTGTGCGCTGGCGGTAGAAGCCGTCTCTCTCAGGTGCAGGGGCCGGAGCTTCGTCGTGAGACTCCTCAGCCAGGACGGCGAATGACTTGCGCCGATTGCGCTTCTTCTTTGCACCGCCGCGATGGTTCTTTCGCCGACGAGGCTGCGGCTGCTGTCCGTTCTGATCATTCCCGTTCGCATTGCTTGAGGGTGTCGCTGGCGGCGGCGGTGCTGTCGAGCTTGAGCCCGGGGTATTGGACAGCCTCCGGGATGTCGGCGTCTGCAGATGAGCCGCCAAGGGTTGGAAGGGATTGCCAGACATGATGGAGGAAGTATGCCACACCGTCTCTTGGCAGCGCTTGTGCCGACTACGAGAGACAGGTGGTGCCGCGGGTCGGCGTCGAGCAGACTACCTTAGGCGTGGGCCGACGTCTCCTGGTGTGTTTTGGTGGCGACGGGGGGATTCCACGTGAAGCACGAACTGCAGGCGGACTGGGGTGGATTTCAGCTGCTTTCTATTTTGAGTGGGCGTGGGTCGAGCTCTTTTGCAGACGGCAGCGCGAATCTCGGATCGAGTGCACTGTATTGTTCGAACGTTGAGATAAGCAGTGGTAGAAGGAAGCCAGGGGATTCGAATTATGCAGCAATTGACAGTAAAGCTGTCACTAGATGGAGATGCAGCGCAGGTAGTAGGCGGCTGGGTCTGAGAAAGAAAAGTCTGCCGATGGTGTTGGAATTGGGGAGAGGGCGAGAAACGGTCTAACAGAAAGATAGAGCGATGCATCCGTTCCGTTCGTTGCTCTCGGTGATGTCAGTGGAAGGTGGAGCACACCAGCGATTGTGAAATTGCTAAGCCGCTTTGAGGAGATCCGGCCGTCCAGCACACGCACAGCTGCCACAGCACACCCGTGGACCTTGGATGAGACCCCGCCCTGATGCTTCCGTCGCTGCCATATGGTCGCTGGGGGGTCCGAGAGCAGCTTACCTCCGAGTCTCAGCCAACCAGCGGCCACCTCCGAAGGTCTGGGGAGTGTGGACGACCTTTTTTTCTTCTTTTTTTTCTTGTTCTTCTCTCTTTTTTCCGGGGCTGATTCCATGCGGGCAAGCATAGGAGCTCCAGGTCCTCTGGACACCAAGCCATCAGCCAACACAGGGCATCCAGTCAGCGAGCCAGCCCACTGCTATCTGAGGTGCTGTCGCTGCCCATCCCCCGCAGTGGACCGCGACCGGTGTTGTGTGTTGCGCATCGGTGTTCTCCAGGTGTTCTTGACTGCCCACACCCTTCCCTGACGCATGACAGTGGCCACTCCACACAAGTCTCCAGGCCGTCGCTGTCGTACCTCGACTAACACCTTAAAGGTAGACTCGACCGCCGCTCGGCTCACCGCTCACCGTTGAGCGTGTCCATCGGTTGCGGCAATTGGGCACACGACCTCTTGGCTTTTTGGCTCTGCACGTCTGGGCGCCGAGTTCCCCTTTGGGCTTTGGTTCGCCCATCTGCAGAGCAATACTCGATGCTCGAACTGAATCGGACCAGACGTTTGTTAAGGCCGGGCCTCCCGTGACGAAGAGAGGGAAGAAATCTCACTCAAGTACCATGAGTCAGTCCAGTGTGCTTGAGAGCCAAATTCGTCTGAAATCAAATGACTCTTCAAGGTGTGCCGTGCCACATGGAAAAGGAATGGCTGCAGCGGGAACTAGGTAATGACAGATGGAGATAAGGTGCAAAGAGATAATTGCCGTGCTCTAATGGCAAAGTCGGTTGCCAGGACACACCATCTTGTTGGAAAGCGGCACATCGACATTCAAGCTCTAGTACGGAAAATTCGGCAAGGCGGACCTCTCCAAATGCACACTTCACTGCACGACAAGACTTCCTACAAACTCAAATCGTAACCCCTACCCACCAAGATCCAAACAACTATGCCTGCCTTTGAATACCAGCTGAATATCTTTTGGTAGACATTGGGGCGGGAGAAGAAGTCGACGTTGAACCGTAGATGGGCACTTGATATTTTTTCTCGTTGGAACAAATGGACCGAAAGCTACATGTAACTTTTGAGACGGCTTTCTCTTCAACTACCTTCGTCGGGGCATTTCGACCACAAAATGATTGCCTCTATGCATAGCATACATAGCATTGGCAAAAGCCCGAGTCAGCTATTGACTCCCCAGCACCAAATTCCGAATAATCGCCGCTCACCTGGCCCAGCTAGCTGCAAGCGAACTTCTACCTACATGTAGACAAACAAGAGTTCCTCCCAGACCTTTCCGTGAAATTGAACCTCTTTGCCCAATGAGCACCTTATTTTGATAGCAATGCTACCTATCCGTAATGTCTACATTTTCCAAGAACCATCCATGCCTCCATGCCGTGCCCGGATATCAATAATACCAATCTGTCTTTGTACTAGGCCCTGATGGTATCTTCCCTACCACCTCATGCTCATACCCCTATTACGAACTTCACTGAAAGTTCCACAGCTTCGCTACCAGGCTATCTTGGACCCCAGACTCCGGCTCGTTCGGAAGGAACACCTTCTTGGGGATCTGGAACTCGATCACGGGCGGCTTCCTGACCTGCTTGCCCATCTCGGCCTCGAGCAACTACGCAATTCTTAGCTGACTGTTCCTTGTCACGAAATGTCTGGTCTCTGCGTCACTTACACTGCTGTACGAGTGGTCAAGAAAGTCCTCAATGTTGTAGGATTGCTTGGTAAACTGCTCTGACATAATCTTGGCGATCGTCGCCACGTTGGGGTGGTAGTGCGACTGCAGCTGCACGATTTCCCACAGACAGCTGTCGATGGCGTGCGTTTCCATAGGATCTACCTCATCGGCCAGGAACGGGTCGTTAAGGCCCTGCGTCTCCATGAGCGCCTTAATTTCCGGGTCCTTCGTCTCTCTGTGGATCATGAACGTGCACAGAGGGTGCCTCTTGAGAATGTTGTACATCCAGGGCACGATGAAGACGACGGCGCTCGGGGGAGCATTGAGGCTGAGCCGCGCAAGCCTCTTGATGAAGCTAGCCACCAGCACCGCAGGTAAATGAGTCGAGCAGAGGAAGGTGTCCATTAACCGGAAGAACCTCGAGCGGTACTTGGAATGCAGAATATCGCGGTCCAGGAGGGAGTAGAGCTTGGTGTAAAATGACGGGTAGTCGAGGTTTCGTTCCTGGATGAGGTAGAAAACACCAGAGAGCGCGAGCAGCGAGATGGAGCCGCCCGCGTCATAGGAATCCGTCAGGAAATCGGCGAGCAGCTCTGGGCGGATGAACCACGGGGCAATCTCCTTAGACATGACGTCCAGAATCTGCTTTCGCTGTTCCCTTGTCACTGCCAACCTCAAAACCGCAAGCCAGGCATCTTGGCCCTGCTTCTTGTGCTGGTGCGCAGAGTTGACGTTGTGCGACTTCTTCTTCGGCTTTTCGGCGTAGAAGTTTCCTAATTCTTTCGGCACATCGCCAATGTTTGAGAGCAGCTCGAAAGTGTCATCAAAGACCTCCCCCTTGGGCAAAGACCCAGGGTTCTCGGCCAGAGATCTGTGAGTCGTTAGTTTCGTGTAACCAAAAGAGTCTGGTCCCCCAAAGTACATACTTGACAGCTTTTAGTGTGAAGAAACGAATATCGTCGTATTCTGTCAGGTATTTTTCGACAAACTCGACACGAATATCATCACTGGCTGATGCCAACAGGCTCCTAACGATTTGCTCAATGAAGAGATGAGGGAACGTGTACTCCTCCTTCTCGGTGAAGTACTGAGCCTCCGCCTTGAGACATCTCATAGCCAGCGTCAACGCAGTTGAAGCCAGATCTTCCTCTTCGAGGAGCGAAGCGAGAACGCCCTTGTACTCGGAGTACCGTTCCCTCAGCCACTGCACAACCACCTTCTCCTTCTCAGCCTGGCCCGCCCTGAAAGCCAGAGCTCCCGCCGAGAGTAATCTCACAAAAACTCTGCACAGGGCCACGCAGGCCAATGTTGCGGCCTCTGGCTCATCCTCGTGAGTTCCGGCGATCTGGATTAGTTTTGTGATGTTGTTGTAGTGCTTCTTCGATTCCAGGATCTCATTTTCGAGCAGCAGGATCTCAGCCTGAGGGTCGTTGCTCTCGTCGCTCTCTGCTTCAGATGCTTCAGACTCGGACTCAGATTCCGATTTGGCGCGCTTCTTTGACCTCTCCTTTGTGGGAGCTCGTTTCCTCTTCAGGCCGTCGGTTGAAACCTTGGCAGGCATTTTTTCTCTCCTCTCGTTGGGGTAAATCTTATGTGCTGAACTTTTGATATTGATATCAATCGTTGTGAAAACCGAGTTCAACTTTACTGCGGGTCCCGGCCAGATCGGAATTTTCATTGAGGTACCTATGTACTTGTAGGCGCCGGTTCCACTTCATTTGGAAGCCCAAGCGTCTTTCGTCCTCTCCCAGTCTCTCCCAAATTCCCGCAGCCACCGCATCCGCCACATCACGTGATTTGAACATAGCCGTCTCGGGAGTAAGCGGTACCCGTTGACAAAATCTAACCTCACCTCGAGCAGCTCCGAATGACCTCCTACCCATAATACCCGCAACCCCCCCAATCATCACACAATGGCGTCCCGCTTGGCTCGAAGCGCTGTCGGTACGTCCAGGCACATCCCTCGAAGCTTCGGCGTGTCAATTGGCTCGCTCGAAGACGACGCAGACAAACGTGGTGGCTAACGCGCAGGTCCCCTCCTCCCTCGAACAGGCGCGAACCTCCTCAGGCCGACCCTGGCCCGCCGCACTCTGCCCGCCATCTCGGCCTCGATCGCCGGCGCCCGCAACGCCTCCAACGTGCCCGCCGAGGACCCCAAGAAGAAGGCCCAGTCCATCGTCGATGCCCTCCCCGGCAACTCGCTCCTCTCCAAGACCGCCATCCTCTCCTCGTCCGCCGCCCTCAGCGTCTACGCCATCAGCAACGAGTACTATGTCGTCAACGAGGAGACTGTCGTCGCTTTCTGCCTGCTCGCCGTTTGGGGCGGTCTGATCAAGTACGGAGGCCCGATGTACAGCGAGTGGGCCCAGGGCCAGGCCGACAAGATTAAGGGCATACTCAACTCCGCCCGTGCCGACCACACCCAGGCCGTCAAGGGACGCATCGAGGACGTTCAGCAGATGTCTGGCGTCGTCGACATTACCAAGTCCCTCTTCGCTGTTTCCAAGGTACGACTTCTATGATGTAATCGATAGGATGCGATTTCATTTTGGAAGAGCTCGGTCGGACAGAAGGGTTGGCGCTGCCAGAGAAGGGATCATCGGCGGAGTTATCAAAAAGCAGCAGCTGACACGATGAATCAATAGGAGACCGCCCAGCTCGAGGCTCAGGCTTACGAGCACCAGCAGAAGACCGCCCTGGCCGCCGAGGCCAAGGCCGTCCTCGACTCCTGGGTCCGCTACGAGGGCCAGGTCAAGGCCCGCCAGCAGAAGGAGCTCGCCGAGAACATCATCGCCAAGGTCACCAAGGAGCTCGAGAGCCCCAAGGTCCTCCAGCAGATTCTCCAGCAGAGCATCGCTGATGTCGAGAGTACGTGTTCACTTTTCCCCAAACCTCCGTCATCGGCTCTCCCCTCCTGTTTTCCACCGGAACCATCAACCATCAAACCTTTTGCTAACGTTATTCTTCACAACAGAGATCGTCTCCTCCAAGGCCCAATAGATCCCCCACCCTTACTAGAGTCTGAGCGAGAAGCTTTCCTTTGTTCAAGGGGTCCTGTTCCCCTTGCGTGTCAATAAACACCCTGTGCATTAGCCAATTCAAGAACTTGAGAGAAGAACGAAGTGGACCACTGCCCATGTGTCGCGTAAGTGTTTAATTAGGAAAAAGCTATTTTACTCGACAATTGATTTATGATCTTCAATAATCCACGACATGTTTGAGCTGGCGATTTATTCAGGTTTTCTACAGAGCTATCTGGGATGGCTTGTTGAAAGCCAAGGCTTTTTTGATCGGTTGTCCTTAACCGCTGTTTGTGTCGGCTGCATCACCTCCGCTCGCAATTCCGACCGCTCCGACATTCTCCGCCCAAGCATTGCAACCACCCCAAAAATTATGGCAACCATTCACTCTTCTTCGTCAGTAAGCCAAAGAAGTTACGCAAGAACAATATTTGTTTGAGCAAGTATATCAAGACCACAACTGGTGAAAACTTTGTGTTCAATCTCGGGTTATGGCAATTGTCCCCGTGACAGATGCAAGGAAACCGTCGTTCTGTCTGTCCATCATATAGCAATCCCAAACGCCTTTCCGTCCCAGCTCATAAGCAAGGTATTGAGACAAAACCCGCAGAGCCTCTTCACTGCGTTGACCGCGTTCTTACAAAGGAAATATGACATGGTAGGGTATGATGACTGAATTACAGTGATTCCTCCTCAGCGGAGCCATCATGACACTGAACTCAATAAATAGGCCGCGGCTCATCCCACTTTGAATGAGCGACGGCCTTATCCTCTGACGTCCCCGGGGTATCTTCTGTCTTGACTTCCGCTCCATAGGAAATACGTCCGCTCTTGCGCCGCCTGGCACTGTCTCCGGCAATCGGTCCAATCCACTCCCACGCGCGGCCAACTTCGCCGCTCCTGCCCTCTCTTTGACTGGTTCGAACGTTGCTATTCTGCTCGACGACCGCCTTCACTTTTGTCCAGATGCGATCTCGTTCGCCGAGCGAGTGCACTGACCGAAGCACGTCGTCACGAAGGTTGGGCAGGAAGAGCCAAGGGTCATCGATGTCTTCCTCCCCAAGCTCCTTTTGCGTCGCCAGTCTCGACAACACAAGGTCGACAAGCGCTGGAACCTGCGCCACGGTGGCCTTGTGTGATCTGTACTTACGTCGGACGTAAAAATAAGCCGAGATCAAGAAGATTACAGATCCAATTGAGAGTCGATGTCTTGCCAAGCCGAGTCTAACTGAGCGCTTGAGGGTGCAGCCGATCGGTAGCCGAGCGAGAGAGGTAGACGAGAGGTAGGCGTCTGAAATTGAGGTGGAATTGGCCTTTCTGCTTCGGGCACGTCCAATCTGGTTAGTACACTAGTCAGAATGGATGTTGACGACATCGATGTAAGAGGAAGAGGGGATGTTGGAATGAACAGAGACAAGATAAATGGACATCATAACTTACGGTGCCACTTCGACTTCCTCTCGACCCTTCACTTCTCCAATCGCGGCAACCCAAAGGTCGTCGAACTCCTGCTTGGTCATCTTCTTGCTCCGCTTTGCACTAATCGCGGCCTTCAACTCCTCCTCTTCGATAGACGGGGACGCTGGCGCCTGGCCAGCAACTGTGGTAGAGTCTCCGCATTCAAATTGCGCTCGGCGCTCCCGTAGCTCCTCGACTGCCTTGTCTGCTACGGCCTTCACCCTCCTGACCTTTTCACCATCCGGCTCACACGTGGGAGGCAGTGGAAGCAGACCACCCAAAGCCAGCGGGTGAGGCTTCAGTATGAAATCCGGCTCGCAGCGAACCGTGAAATCTCCGTAGCAGTATGCGTGCTGCGGGCAAGGCTCGCACTGGGGTTCAGCCAGTTGCACTGCCCAGTTAGGAACTGCAACGTCCGGAGGGATGATTTGCGTTGCAGGTCGACCGAGTCCACAGTATCCAACGGCAACCTTCTCCTGTCGGTACCATGCGCCATACGCGCCAAACAGGGAAATCGCAAGAGCCCATAGAGGTTTGGAGAGGCCGCGTCTCGGGCGTGGAGGCGACGTGGGACGCGGTGCGAGTGCTCTTTCACCACCTGCAGCCATTTCTTGTTCCATCTCGAACTGTGCGTCGGGGGTGAACTCCTCTCCAGCCTCAACCTCAAACACTTGTGCCTCAGGTGTTTGCTCACGGAGAAGCTCACTGACGGGAATCTCAAACGCGTGGGACTTTCTCGACGAGTTGGGTCGATCCTCGGCGTAGTGGCCGTCGGTTCTCCGGCGAGGGCTACGCTCTTGTCTACCATTTGCGATGTCCACGCCAGTGGTCTTCCTCCGTCCGGTGGGACTGGTTATGAGCTGCGTTGCTGGACTGCCACTTTGGAAGGGATTTTCTGAAGAGAAGTACTGCGATTCTCTCCTGTTGAAAAATTCCTCCTCGGACTCTTCCTGCTTGATCTTTGAAATCTTAGGAGTTACAGCGCGCTTGGTGCGAACAGACTTGGGCAGCTCCGGCTCAGTAAAAGGCTCGATGTAGGGTTCAGGCTCTGGCAGCTGTCGGCTTGTAGCTCGTACCTTGCGCTTTGTCGGACTGACTGAAGCCGGCCCTTGCTGCTCATATTCCTCGCTCTTGAGCCGGGCAGATGCTTTGCGCGGCGATCTCGACCTCGTCACCCTCGGTGGGGGAGGGGCAAGGTCGTAGTCGTCGAAGGAATCGGTGTCCTGGGAGCTTCCAGCGTCGACAATACCGTAGCTTGATCTCTTCGCCTTGGCCTGTTTTGCCAGGATCTTCTTCGCTTGAGGAACGACCTCATCTTCGAAAAGCTGAATGAGCTGAGGCTTCTTTGCTGTGGCGGGGTACTGGATATCGTGTGCAACAAGGATCGATCGCAGTCGAGGTACTGTCAGCGACTTGGGGTCGAACCCAGGTTGAAGGTATTCATAGTCATCCATGTTGTAGCCGTAGGAGTAGCGGTTAGAAACTGGACGTTTGCGAATGATCGAAGCAGCGGATGGAAGTAGCAAATAAAATTCGACGTTGCGATCAAAGAAAGGCTGGTGCTGATGAACGGATCCGTGCTGAGATACTTTGCGACAATGATGTCAAAAAAGCTCTTGAGGCAGCCTTTGAAGCTCTGCCCTGTGAAACCTTGAGGGATAGAGCAGACAAGGAGTGACTGGCGCAAGCAAAATGAAGTCGCACAGAAGATTTTGACCTTGCTCTTGCTTTCTGCCGCCGTGACAGGGTGGGCACCAAGGTCTGAGCAATGGGAGTGTAAAGCGCAAGTTGTGCAAAGGATTCAACCAGTGGACAGATGTTGATAAAGTCAAACGGATGAAAGAGGCGGGACCCCACTGACGCAACCAGCAAGAGCGCCCTTCACATCTGGGTGCTGTGGCAACAGCAAAGGTCATGTGGAAAAAAACAACTAGTGTGGGGGGCGACTTAGAAAGCGACAGGGGTAAGCCTCCCACTTTCCCATACTCCGTACATAAGGTAGGTCCGTAGTAGGTAAACCTCTTACTCCTCTCCAGACGGGCTCCGAGGCATGCCAGATTGCAGGGGAGGAGCAAGCACGGACCGAGGGGTCCATCTTCAGCCACACACAAGCCTACATTGAAATGTGGCTTTGGTGTGGCGAAATATTTCGAGCTTGTCCCCATCATTTCGATTGATCGTTCCATGTGATCCCTCAGCTGAACCGCCAGGAATCCGCCCTCTGAAGTTCTGACGGCTTGAACAAGATGGCGACCACCAGAGTCATTTTGGCCAGAAACCGGGTGGTCTGCAGGTCTTGTACACGAAAGTTCCAGACCCAGGCACGCCGATCCTACGCAAGCGTAGGCGCAACATCGTCGGCACCCGAGCCTGACATCTATGATGTGGTTTGCGTGGGAGGTGGGCCGGCAGGCTTGAGTCTTCTGAGCGCTCTCCGTACGCTACAATCGACAACATTCGACCTTAATGAGAGGGACTAACATGTTCCAGGGGCTAACCCAGTCACATCCCGTCTCAGAGTAGCACTTGTTGAAGCTCAAGATCTCTCCAAGATTCGCGCATGGAACCTTCCAGCCGACAAGTTCTCGAACCGATGCAGCTCCCTCACCCCGACCTCAGCGCAATACCTCAATATAATTGGAGCATGGAGCCATATCAAGCGCGAGCGTGTCCAGGACTACAATGAAATGCAGGTTTGGGACGGTGTTAGCGGCGCAAGAATTGAATTCGACTGGCCAGCTGGTGGAATGCCGGGCAAGACAATCGCCTACATGTGCGAGAACCTCAACTTGACCTCTGGTCTCTTGAGTCGCTTGGAAGACCTTGGTGGGGTCTCGGTATTTGACGGCGCAAAGGTCGAGAACATCAGCTTCGGAGAGGAAACGGAGGACTTGGACCTGACGCAGTGGCCTGTTGTTCATTTATCAGGCGGAAAGCAGCTGCACGCAAGACTGCTGGTCGGAGCCGACGGCGCAAACAGCCCAGTGAGGACCTTCGCCGGCATCAAGGCGCAAGGCTGGGACTACGGAAGACATGGTGTCGTTGCGACGCTTCAGCTGGAGGGAGAGGGATGGGGCGGGGAACACAACAAGATCGCGTATCAGCGTTTCTTGCCCACTGGCCCTGTGGCAATGCTGCCGATGCCTGGAAACTACTCAACGCTGGTATGGTCAACAACACCTGCCAACGCCGCACTCTTGAAGAGCCTTCCGCAAAAGGAGTTCATCGCCATGGTCAACGCTGCCTTCCGACTGAGCCCCATCGACCTAGAGTTCATGCACAAGCAGGAGTCTGGCCAGTCTGAGGAGCTTGCCTGGAGGCTGGAGCACACCGGTTTCGATCACCGAGTGATTCCCCAACAGGTTATTGGAGTTCAAGAGGGCACCGTTGCTTCTTTTCCGCTCAAGATGCGTCACGCAGATACCTACACTGCCGAGCGCATTGCTCTTGTCGGCGACGCGGCACACACCATCCATCCACTTGCCGGCCAAGGCCTGAACCAGGGTCAAGGAGATGTCCAAAGCTTGGTCAAGACTATTGAGACAGCCGTTTCTACCGGCCAGGACTTGGGCACAACGCTTTCTCTTGAGCCGTACAAAGCGGAGCGTTATGTTGCAAACCACATCGTATTGGGTGTCTGCGATAAACTACACAAGCTGTACTCCGTGGAAAGCGGGCCCTTGGTGCCATTGCGTTCTCTTGGCCTTAGCGCTGTAAATGCTCTGGGTCCTTTGAAGAAGTTTTTCATGGACCAGGCCTCAACCACTGGCGCCAAGCTCTTCTAGAGTTGTACTCTATGTATTCTAAACCCAAAATGCTGTACTACCAACTCGAAAAGCTTGACCTGTGGAGTCATGCCATTTGTATCTATTGTCCAGCTTGTAACTCATAGCCAGTACCTAATACTTCAGCAACATTTTGACAAGCAAGCTTGGTCAGTGAATGCAGACTAAAGGCATATCGCGTGCCATGGTCTGTACGAAATTCTTCAAGAAAAGAGAACAATGCGGTATATACGTCTGCGCTCTGTCTCTTCACTCTACAAGTACACAAAAGGAAAGAAGTTCCTCAAAGTCATTTTGATATCCACCCTCTGATACATCCTTACCGATCAACCTCGCCTGTGTAATAGTTAGGATATGCGGTGTGATAGCATCATCGAAAGGGAAAACTTACCAAACACCAAATCCATCGTACCGATAACCGCCACAGCGTCAGCAAGCATGTGGCCCTTGGAAATGTGGTCGAAACCACCCAAGTGAGCGAAACCGGGCGCTCTGATGTGGACGCGGTAGGGTCTCTCGCTGCCGTCACTAACGACAAAAACACCCATCTCACCCTTCGGGGCTTCGATTGCGGAGTATGTCTCGCCCGGGGGAACAGTGTAACCCTTGGTATAGAGGAGGAAGTGGTGAATGAGGGCCTCCATGTTCTCCTTCATGGCAGCGCGGGGAGGGGGGGAGATCTTGTAGTCCTCGACGCGAACAGGACCAGCGGGCATCTTATTGAGGCACTGGTGAATGATGCGCAGGGACTGTCTGAACTCCTCCATACGGCAGAGGTATCTGTCGTAACAGTCACCGCGGACACCCACGGGTACGTCAAACTCCACCTGGTCATAGGCGTCGTAAGGCTGGCTCTTGCGGATATCCCAGGGAACACCGGAACCACGGAGCATAACGCCGGTAAAAGACAGGTTGAGAGCCTCGGCGGCAGAGACCACACCAACGCCCTGGAGACGCTGGATCCAGATTCGGTTGTCCGTCAGCATCTCTTCGGTCTCGTCAATACGGTCACCGAACTGGGTAGCCCATTGGTAGATATCGTCAAGAAGACCAACTGGGATGTCCTGGTGGACACCACCGGGACGGACGTAGGCGGCATGGAGACGGGCGCCAGAGACACGCTCGTAGAATTCCTGGTAGACATGCGGGTTAGCCGGAAATCGCACTAGCGGCTTCAGCGTTTCTCCCAACTTACCATGAGCTTCTCACGCTCCTCGAAACCCCACAGGAAAGGCGTCAAAGCACCAACATCCATGGCGTGCGATAGAACGGACATGAGATGGTTCAAGATACGGGTGATCTCGCCGAACAGGGTACGAATCCACTTGGCGCGATCGGGAATTTCGACGTTGAGAAGCTTCTCAACGGCCAGGGCGAAGCATTGCTCGTTCGTCATCATGGAAACGTAGTCGAGACGGTCGAAGTAGGGAAGGGCTTGGAGGTAGGTCTTGTACTCGCAAAGCTTCTCTGTACCTCTATGAAGCAGACCGACGTGGGGGTCGGCTCTGATGATCTCTTCGCCGTTGAGCTCGAGAATCAGACGCAACACACCGTGGGCGGCAGGATGCTGGGGACCGAAGTTGACGGTGTAGTGACGGATCTTTCGGTCCTCGACGGACTCCTCAGGCGTCGTGTCCTGGTCCTTCGGCGGCGTCAAGCTGTAGTGGTCCTCGGCGCGGGAGAAGTCGGTCGAGACTTGAGTGAGGCGAGTCCCTTGGTATTCGGAGGAGGCATCGGCGTATCGTCGCAGGGAGGTCGTCGAGAACGGACGGGCGGCGAAGGAGGTAGCTGCTGCCGGGCGCAGACATAACCTCTTGGCGCTGTGGCCGGCGAGTCGGTAGAGGCCTGACATGGCGATCGTATAGTGTAGAGACAGCTTCAAAAGAGGTCAAGGAGATATGCTGCCTCCAATTGAGCCTCCTTTATTATGCCAATGGCTGACGGCCGGCTAGGTTGGATAGACAGGATTCGCCTTCGAAAGTGTGTAGTGTGCCCGTCATGTCCCGAAAGCTCGAACGCATCGATTCAAAATGGGCACTCGCTGATTGGCTCAGCGGAGCGCGGTTTTGCCGCAGCCCTTGGAGGTGCACGGAGGCATCATACAGTACGCACTGTATCGCACACGGTTTATGCTACATGGATGTGGATTCGATTAAGCTGAGCACCTTCGCAAACCCGTCTTGAGCTGCAGCTGGTATCAAACGAGGTAAGAAACTATCCTCTTGTGTACTTTTCCTTGACGATGCATGGAACGTCAATGCCTGGAAGTCCCGGTGTCCATACTGTTGCGATCAAGGCTTCACCGATTTCTTGACTCTCTCATGGCTTGCGGAAACTCGATCAGCTGATGAGAAGCTCTAGACAATTCCTCCTACTTCACGTCGGTGAAGGTGGTCAGGCTCTGAACTCCACCAGGAGTCCTTGAAAATGCCATGGCCGTTCAGCTCTTCCAGCTCAGGAAAAGCCCCCGCCACGAGCAGTTCAGAAAATGATGCGCGCGCCAAATCAACATCATGGAACGACCTGTTGCCTAAACCTGCTCCGCCGTTGCAAGCCGCCAGAGAGTGGGCTCCTGTTTTCCTGACATCGGTCGCATCCTTGGCAGCTTTCATGTTCTATCAAACCCGTTTGCGGAGATTTCCCACGACAAATCACATCCAGCCAGATCTTTTCAGGAAGCGGACTCTTTTGGGACGAGTCACCAGCGTGGGAGATGGCGATAACTTTCACATGTTCCATACACCAGGCGGCAGACTTGCAGGCTGGGATTGGCTGAGAAAGATTCCCAACGCGAAAGCCACATTGAAGGGGAAGACAGTGAGTGCAACTCTATGCAGATGCGAAACTTGGTGTTGATCGCCAGCACAGATACCTGTACGGATGGCTGGAATCGATGCACCCGAGGGCGCACATTTTGGTCGGCCGGGGCAGCCAGGGGCTACAGAAGCACTGCAATGGCTGAGGGCTTACATACTCAACAAACGCGTCTGGGCCCGAATTCACAGGCGCGATCAATATGAACGTGTGGTTGCAACAGTGTATGTCCGACGGTTTCTGTTGAAGAAAGACGTCGGGCTGGAGATGTTGAAGCTGGGGTTGGCAACGACATATGAGGCGAAAACAGGAGTTGAATGGGGAGGGGCCGAAGAGGCATACAAAGCTGCTGAGGCCAAGGCCAAGGCGAGGAAGATTGGAATCTGGAGTGGAAAAGCAAGTGACTTCGAGAGTCCCAGGGCATACAAGACCAGAACCAACGAGACAGAAGGGAAGAAGCCTGGCTGGCTGTCTAGCTGGCTGTAAGATGCAAATCGGGAGACATGTTCAATGGGCTCGTCAACGGCTGTAATGAGCATGGTATCAAAAGCAAGGCATTATGCAGTACGGCCTACGTAGTACCTTGAAGTCAAAGCGAGTACTGTTTGCATTTACAGCAGCGACTTGATGTGAGTTGAGACAATGAAGCATCATTGTGAGTGAGATGGTTACGCCGGTATGTTGTTTTACTACATAATGGCTTAATTGCATACAGCGGATGAAGGAATGCTGTCACTAATTGGCTAGAAATGTCCCCATTTCACCGTGCTCACAACCTCACCCCCTGTGTTTGACCCGAACTTGGACGTATCAGATTGCAGTATCCGTACAACCCAACCTCGATGAATACTGCAACTTCTCATGACATCTGGCCCTTCTTGGCAACCTCAGCATTGAATGCATCGAGGATCCGCTGACTCTTCAGCCACTGCTTGATTCGATTTCTTTGTTTTTATCGACGTGATAAGGAAGCACGCAACTTTCTAGGTCGTTAGCGGTGACAAGTCGCTCAAGATGTCGCTCCAAGTCAGAGGCCCCGACTTCTCGGTGACGAAACAGAAGGCTCTCGAAGATGCGAAAAAGATGCAAGCTGCAGTGGATGATGAGGTGGCAAAAGCTGGACAGGACAAGCCGCCATATCTCCTCAATGAACTCATTGGCAAGGGAAGTTTCGGGCGCGTCTATAAAGCAACCGACATCAACACCAGCATGCTCGTTGCGGTCAAAATCATCGACATTGAAGAGAGCGATACCGTCAACCCCAAGCTTGCCGACACATTCAAGGAGTTCTTGGCCGAAATCAACGCGTTAAAGCTTCTCAGCGACAGTGGCGCAAGGAACATCAACCATGTCATTGACGCGTTACCTGTCGGTCAATCCATGTGGATGATCACAGAGTACTGCGCTGGAGGAAGTGTGGCAACGCTCATGAAGCCGACCGCTCCCGGTGGTCTGCAAGAGAAGTGGATCATCCCGATTCTCAGAGAGGTCTCTGAAGCCGTCTTCTGGGTTCATCGGCAAGGCATCATTCACCGCGATATCAAGTGCGCCAATGTTCTGGTCACTGAGGCCGGCGGGGTGCAACTTTGCGATTTCGGAGTGGCTGGTGTAATTGAGACGAAATTCGACAAACGATCAACATTCATCGGAACCCCTCATTGGATGGCCCCGGAACTTTTCGATCAGTCAACATCGTATGGTACGGAGGTGGACATTTGGGCATTCGGCTCCATGGTTTTTGAAATTGCCTCTGGCCTACCGCCGAACGTTATGGCAGGCGTCGACGTTTATCAGCTTGGAAATTACATCAAGGCACACACACCACGATTAGAGGGCGATCAGTATTCCGACCGATTGAAACATTTGGTTGCGTATTGCTTAGAGGAGGACCCGGCGAAACGACCAACAATCGAAGAGGTACAGAACCACCCTTACATCGCCAACTCGGTCCAAGAATACCCGGCAGCATCACTGGCATTACTAGTGAGAGGATTCAAGCTTTGGGAGTCACAAGGCGGCAGCCGTAAATCACTATTTGCCCCTGGGGGAGCCCAGGGTATGTCCGGCATGGACGAGTCCGACTTCTCATCCACCGCGATGGCCAACGACGAATGGAATTTCAGCACAACGATGGCGTTCGATCAACAGGTGTTTCAAAACACAGACGCTCAGGCAGTCTACGATGTGTACGGCTCAAACGTGGAATTCGACCCTTTGCTTCTGGACGACATGTCTCGATCCAAGCCGAAGTCACGTCGGAGGCCGCCACCTCAGCAGCTCGCCGCCATGAAGGCTCCCTTAGAAAAGGTGTTTGATCCGAACACTATTTCCAACTATGAGGACAATTCCCGAGCATACTATGGCAGGCCAGTTCCTCCACCAACTTCAGATCTTCCGTTGCGAGACGACTCGCTACAATCAACCGCAGTGAGAGAATCGCTTATCGACCTGGACGCTTCACTTCACGGTGGTGATCTTTCCAACTTTGTGGATATGAACACCATCAGAGCTGGGGCACCGCGCGTATCTGTCGACTATCATATGGGAGACGAGCCAGATTTTAGCAAAGCACCTTCGAGCGACCCGGCGGATCTGAACCCGAATAGGAGAACACAGGACTGGAAGTTCCCTTCCATGGCCCCTCCAGCTTCCGCGAACCCGGAAATGTCGAGATTTCCCTTCAACGAGGACCGACCCTTCCACGAGGACCGACCCTTCCACGAGGACCGACCCTTCCACGAGGACCGGCCCTTCTACGAAGAACGGCCCTTCCACGATGATCATACGGGACCCAGTTCTGCGTCTCGCCCGCAAATGTTTCATCACCAGACCGATCCAGTTCCCGCCCCTAATTATGGCGGCGATTTGATGGTTCCCCGACCTGGTTCGCAGATGAACAACAGGGAATCCACGGGGAGCTTGATAGATCTGGATGAGCTTATGGTCCCGCCCCCTAGTACCCAGAACAATCGTGTATCGACTGGCAGCTTGATCGACCTCGATATGGGCTTGGCAGATCCTATGCCGGAGCTCACTCGACCTTCCACGGCCAACTCAGACGCCGCATCTGTCAGCGGCTCAGAGATGGGGATGGCAAACCCTTTCGATCTGGAGCGCCATGCTTCCCTATATGTGCCCACATCCAACCGGGAGCCCTCTATTTATGTCCCAGCATCGAACCGGGAACCATCCATTTATGTACCAACATCAAACCGAGAACCGTCGATCTACGTGTCGGACGATTCAGACTTCGCCTCACGCGTTCCTAAAGACGAGGATCAACTCAGCCTCGTCGACCTTTCCCTAGCCGATCCCGGTGCTACCGTTCGGCCCAATGGCCAGGGCGGTTTGCGATTGAACACTCATCGCTCGTTCAACAGCGTTAACAGTGCCGACTACTCTGACCCCGAGTATCTGACTCCACAGCAGGCCGCCCAGCCATCCCTGCCGCCAGGCATTCCGCGCTCAGTAGGGAGCAGGGACAGTGGCACTCTCCCGTTGCCTCCCCCGCCAGCGCCGCCGTCCGTTGAGGTCATGCAGGGTTCGGCGAGTGCAGACGCTGTGAAGGAGGAATTGAGGAGAATGGCGATGAGTCTGGGTGAGCACTTGAGTCACGCGAATCAGTATCTCTCCACGCTACCGGTGCGTAAGGGCGGAAGACAGGATCTGATGGGCGAATCCATGTAAGAGAGCAGCGGTCTGTTTGGTTTTGTTTCGTATACATGAGCATTAAGATAACACGGCGAGGACCTATGTATTCACGGAGCATTGGCGTTGGAGTTATAAAGATCATTGAGGAAAGACATGTATGAATATTCCGAGTTGGATGATAGGTTGGCGTGGGCAATATTTGTTTCGAGCGAGAAGGCCCAGGTCAGATATCGTTATTTATAATAACATCCATTCCTTTAGACGGTATCCGTTCGTCTACTCTACCCTAGGAGAAACCTATCATGTCACCCAGGAGTAAGGCGCGATACTTTTCCGTTGCCTCTTGCAGCTTGATGAGCACCGCGGCGGAGAGCATCTTCACATTATTCTCCTCTCCGCCATCTTCGCCACGTGTGCCGTTGAAAATCCCGCTTACCCATTCCTGCGTCTCGACAACCTCGCGCGGGTGGGCCTCGCACAACCGCCGCATATCGGAGGCCTCATTGACCTCGAGCATGGCCGCCAGCGCGACCAGTAGCGCGTGCATACCCGGTACGTCGCCGTTGACGTGGGTGCGGATGCCCAGTAGCAAGTCCCAAAGCTCGGCCGTCATCTGCGGGAGGGCCAGTGTCGCGGGACCCGCGGCGTGAATGAGCACAGCCAGGGTCTTTAGGTAGAGGGAGAGGAGATAGGGCTGGATGAAGATGCCCGAGCGGGCGGAGCGGGAGCGCAGGGCGTGCTGAAAGCGGGCTGTCAGCGGGAAGAAGAACGAGGCGGCGAGCACGGAGGCCGTCGTGTTCGGGATGGACCGGACGCCGGTTTTCTTGGAAGACTTTGAGGGAAGGCGAGAGGTGAAGGTTGAGAGCTTGAGGACGTCGGGCCCTGTGGTTGCGTCTGCTGCGTTGGCGGCTATGGGGGCGAGGAAGGAGGATGTCAGGGAATCGGCGATGGTGTCGAGGGCGTTGGCCGGGATGGCCTTGAGGTTCGACGAGGAGGAGAGCCGGGTCTGTGCGGCGGACGTGTCGAGGTAGAGCGCTTCCATCTTTTCCGGAAGGCGTTTGGAGGGGAAAGATGCGGCGGCAGCATACTCTGAAGTGTCGAAGCCGGCGAGCTCGCGAGCGCTGAGGCCTAGGACGATGAGGATTGCGGCGCGCTGGGAGACGGAGTAGTCGCCGTCGAAGAACGTCTTTGCGAACCACTGGCCCATCTTCTGCGGCTGAGCTGCGACGCTGGCTATCATGCCCTGAAGACGGAGCTCGTAGAAGTTTTCTATCTCAAACTTGTCCTGTAGGCCGACGAGAAGGGTGGCAAGCTCGTCCGCGTGAGAGGAGACCTCGGTGCCGAAATTTGCTTTGCGGCGTATCAAGGACGGGGCTGTGGTGAGGGCCAGCTTCTGCTTGTCATAGTTGTCGGTGTCGCGAAGGTAGGCTATGAGATCGCGAACGTAGACCGGGGCTTTCGGCTTATCGCGGCGGACGAGCGTAGCGTCCTCGTCCGAGTCTTCTGGGTCATCGGAGGGCTTGATGTAGGGCACGAGGTCCTCGTCCTCGCTCTCAGAGTCCGAGACCTCCTGGATGATGAACTTTGAGGGTGCGGCTGCTTGCTTGGATTTCGGTGCAGGTTTCCGGCGATGGGGTACTGGAGGTTGGGGCTGTTTGTTCTGTTCCACCTCGGGGGTGTTGATCAATGTGTCAATAGGACCGACACTGTCCAGAGTTTTGACGAGGTCTTTGTAGAACTGGGCTTCCTCTGTCGTCATTTCTTCCATTTTGAAGTCCAATTTCTTGTCGCCACCGTCGATGAGGCTCGAGAGTGCCTCGCCCACAGCCATACCAAAGAACCCAGCCCTCTCTTGTGAGGCGCCGATCCGGTTAGACACAGTGTTGAGGTAGCTTGAAGATCGCATGAGCATCTTAAGTTTTAGGGGCGACAGCTTGTTGACATAACTGGCGCTTAGGAGAAGAACCTGGGCATGGCCTTCTTTTGGGTCAGTGAATGTCAGACATGAACCCAGTAAAGAAGATCGTACCTTGTTGTTGCATGATCGGGGAGTGCTTAATATACAGCTGATCGCCGAACTGGTGAAGGCTCTTTTCAAACACCTGAGTCACGCATTCTCTGTCCTTTGCGAGCGCCGCCATGACTGCGCGTCTGATACCTATGCCATCACCCAGGCCGGCACCGGTTGAGCTGGTCAACCACGAGATCAAATGTCTCTTTCGGGTTTCTTCATTGGAGACTACCTTCTCGATGATGCCAGCAGCAGCGGATATGGTCGAATTCGGTTTCAGGGGTTCGACGTCGCCCAGCTTGTTGAGAAACGTTTCCGATAGATGCTTGAGAACAGCAAAAATGAATCGCTTTGTCTCGAGTTGAGAAAATTGGCCAAAGATCTTGAAGAAGGCATTACGGCTTTCCAGGGGGCCAAACAAAAGGTCCCCGATGAACTGTTTCATCAGGGCATCTTAACAGTCGTTAGTGGTTTGACTCGAGCTAATGAGAAGCCTAGAGAATGATGAACTTGCCAGAATAACCGAGACGAAGTGCTCGTGTGAAAACCTCCGAGCAGAGCTTCGCATCGTCAGGCAAGATGTCACCCTTCGACCAATACCCGACACTCCGACCCAACCACCTGCTGTATTGTTGTCCGTCTGTCACCCAAAGTTGGTTTCTGCCGATTCTGTCCGGGTTGGCGATGGCATCTGCCTCAGCTGCGACTGAAACGAGTCGTCCACCAGCTATCAGCGCCATGAACTCATTCGCCATTGGACGTCTTATCGCCGCAGAATCCAGTCCTGTGCTACTTGCCGTCCATAGAACAGCAAGGTGCTCGTCCCTACCCAATACCGCTGAGCTGACCTCGAGTAGTACATTCAGGTTGAGGCTTAGATCTGGCCGCTTAATATCCTTGGCGCTGGCCTTGGATTCTTGGATCAAGGCCTTCATGCGGGTTATGATGGCGTTGAGACCCGTGACACTTCTCAAGCACCTGAGTAGCAAGTCGACGTCTCTTGGGCTGTCGGCATCTTGAATACCAGACTCTCCGGGGGCGTCTTCTTTGAGTAAAGGCCAATAGTTGGGAACGATCTCTGAGACGAGACACTGAATAATTTGCGCAGCCTCGGGGCTTGGTTTTGCGAGTCTGAATCCTGTTGCAGCAACACTGCCATCATTGAGGGACCTGAGGACCACATTCAAACTGTCATAATCTGGCTGGCTCTTTAAAATCTCTAGAGCACGCTCAGCAGAAGACACTTCAGTCACGGCCGGTTTCAATGACTGCGGCTCCTTGCTTAGAGCCGACCCTTCCAGCAAGGGTTGCTTGGGCCTTGCCTTGAGGTAGGTGGTGCTGACCGGGGTAAAGAAGTCGTCCATGCTTGACAATCCCCTTTCAAGTAACGTACAATAGTCCTTGCATGATACTGTGGGAAAACGAAAAGAAAAGTTTTTCAAGATTTGTCCCAAGTTATTCAGGTGGCCTGAAGTCGTAGTCGAATCGGTTTTTTGAAATTCCTCTGTCTTGCGGTTGCGACATCAGATGGGATTTCTTGTCGTTGGGAATCTGATTGCCTCAATTGATGAACAGGCAGCCAAGCCAGAAAGGCAGTGAACTTCGGGTCGTGTTTCCGCTCACCCCACTGTGCTGTAGACACCCCCATAAAAAGTCCCACAACTCTAGGTACCTTATCGATAACTAGCCGATAAGGCTTATCTGGAAACGGGCATAGGTTGGTTTGGCCTGCAACTCGTCATGTCGGCCCCTCCACCTCCGGAAGAAGGTCACTCAGCTTGAGCAGGAACAAGCACCGAAGCGATCGTCAAAACGACCCGGCCCCTCCAAGTCAGGCTTGAACCCTCCTCAAAATGGTTACCAAAGCACCTTTACCGGCAGCGACATACAGTGTCGACGAGGGAAAGAGATGGTTCATCTCTCTTGCAACAGCCCTTCAGTTGTCGCATCAATTCACTAACCCTGGCATGATTTAGGACCTACCTCGACAATATTCGCAAGAACCCAGGACCTTTTAGCGACCCCGATGTCGCCGGAACGGAGGAAGCGTTTGAGCAATTTGACAAGATCAAGGTCTTGTATGATATTATATAACCCAAGGAGTTGAAGCTGTCTACTAACACATTCTTGTTCAGGGTCATGTTGGTGATTCCCTCCTCGAACACGATATTTTGCGACTGACGTTATACAAGTGGCGCTGGAGGTCTGGGGTGTGAGATATTGAAGAACTTGGCCATGTCAAAGTTCAAGGATATTCATGTCATCGACATGGGTAAGTCGTATTCTTCCCCCGGTGCTCTAGCCAGACCTGACGTTTGCTGGCCCAGATACTATCGATATCTCGAATCTGAACCGACAATTCCTCTTCAGAAAGTCCGACGTCGGCAAGTACAAGGCTGAGGTCGCGGCTCAATTTGTTATGCGTCGCGTCAAGGGCGTCAACATTACAGCTCATAACTGCGCCATCCAAGATTTTGGTCAAGACTTCTACAAGCAGTTCCAGTTCGTCATCTGTGGGCTGGACAGCATCGAAGCCCGCAGATGGATTAACGCGACCCTCGTTCAGATTGCTGAGGAGGGTGAGGACCCAGATTCGTTGATCCCCATGATCGATGGAGGCACAGAGGGATTCAAGGGCCAGGCTCGAGTCATCGTGCCTTCGATCACGTCTTGTATCGAATGCCAACTGGACATGCATGCACCGAGAGCCGCTGTTCCCCTCTGCACGATTGCCTCAATTCCCCGGCAACCCGAGCACTGCATTGAGTGGGCGCACGTCATTGCTTGGGACCAGGAGAAGCCGTTCCCAAAGCTGGACAAAGATGACACCACCCATGTGTCTTGGCTGTACCAAAAGGCTCTTACCCGCGCCCAGGAGTTCAACATTACGGGCGTCACATACGCCCTGACCCAGGGAGTCATCAAGAACATCATTCCCGCCATCGCATCTACGAACGCCATCATCGCGGCAGCATGCTGCAATGAAGCCTTCAAGCTCGCCAGCTCGGCCGCACCAACGCTTGGAATGGAGGAAAACTACATGATGTATTCTGGGAATGACAGCATCTACACATATACCTTCAAGCACGAGAAGAAGGACGACTGTCCCGTCTGTGGGCAAGAGTCGCGGCCGCTCGAGGTTGACCCCGACAGCACACTTCAGGACCTCCTGGACTCATTCGCTGTCCGTCCCGAGGCACAATTGAAGAAGCCTTCATTCAGGGCCGCCAATAAGACTCTGTACATGCAGTTCCCGCCCAGCCTGGAGGAGAAAACGCGGGCCAACCTCGAAAAGACTATCAAGGAGCTCGAGCTGGAGGAAGGACAAAACATCATTGTCACGGATCCAGCTTTCCCTCTCGAGTTCAATTTTTACCTGCGCTTCAAGACGACTGCGTAAACGGGGGCCCTAATTGAATTTACGTGGGGTAATGATGATGATAGCATGGTGTCTTTGGGCATGTCAAAAGGCGTGGCACGTCGGATGTGCTCACATTAAAAGAAACAACTAGAAAAATCTAGAAAATAAAAGCAAGTGTCATTATGAACTTTTTTCTTTCTTTCCATTGCCAGCCAGCCCTTTAAAAACCAGAAACGCGGGATATCTATAAGTATGGTACATGTGCAGTGATGCTTCATCTAACCATGTTGATGACCTGCTGCTCAAGACGGATGCACCTTGTCTTGAACTGCTTAACCGACTCCAAAAACAATTCATCGCTGTCCCACTGTCCTGTGCTCTCGATGGAGAAGATAAAGTGATCGCGCACCCGGCCCAGCTTGACCTTGCCCTCAAATTCGGGATGGCGCAAGCACTCACGGCTGACTGTGTCCCTCATGGCGTCCTTGACCACAGCCTTCTTCTCGCCCTCGTGATCCTCGTATCCGCTGCCGCCAACCGCAGCCTCCTTCTTTGTGACCTTCTCGAAGCCAATGACGCCTTGGGGGAAGCATTTAGCGAACTTTTCCGCGTCCTGGCCGAGAATCGGCCGCGTGATGGTGATGGTGGGCATGAGACGATACGAAGCGGTGGCGACGGGAGAAAACTTTGCGTGGTCGGAGCCGATACCCTTGTGCATGTGCATGTCGAGCTCGATGCACTGGCCGGGCCGCAGCTTGGCGATGAGGATGTCGGGGTTGACGGGGCGGATGGCGTCCTCGCCAGAGAAGAACTCGACCTGGCGGCCAGTGGGCACGAACTCGATGTCCTTTGCGTAGACGCTCGCGTGGTTGAAGGCCTTGGCCGGATCCGTCTCGCCGGGGGCGGCGTCCGGGTTGCGGGTGCACTCGATGCGCAGGCGCAGTTGGACTGTGTTGTAGTCGAAGGAGCCTTTGCCGCCCTGCTCAGGTTTGCGGTACCACTTAAGAAACTTGTGGATGCCTTCAGGGTTTCCGGTGAAGGGGATAAGGCCGAGGCGGTGGGCGAGGACCTCGTCTTGGATCACGGAGGTGTTATTCTCGATGTAGACGTTCTCGATGGCGATCGTGGGGATCTCGGCGATGAGGGTGCGGCGGAAGGCGTTGGCGATGGAGGCGTCGACGCCGATGAGCGAGAAGGAAGCCTCGTGCTGGGCGTTGTGGTGGAATTGGACGCGGAAGTTGGAGGCGAAACGATCGAGGTCCCAGGCGTGGTCCTCGCCGGCATAGGTGCCCGGGTAGTCGGTCGAGGTCACATCGGTGACAGTTTCCTTGTTGATGCCGACTATCTGGGGGATGCCGTCAGTATACGAGATTCGCACCTCGAGGTAAAAGTGCCTTTACTTACCCTCCGCCGATCCAGCTCAGCTTGACTGGGTGTTGAGGAGGGCGCCATGGTGGGGGGTGTGTAGTATGGCTGAACTGCGAAAAGTTGCGATCGATGAGACGCAAAATAATTTTTTGGAGGACCCCTCCATGTAAGGTACACCGAGACTATGCGGCTTACGCACACGCCCATGGATCTTTATCGGCAACCCCCCTCTGCGTTACCTAAGTTACCTTCTGGAAGCGAAAATCTGGAGAACCATGTGGGGCCTCAGATGACCACTCCTCAACTGCCTTACACAGTCTGGGCTGTGCTTCCGGATATCTAGAAAACGTAATGCTCGGCCTGTCTGCCCAAATGATTCTCGATGTAATTTCTGCGTGTCTCTGTATAGGTTCTTTCGAGACTTACACCTTCATCAGTGTCACCCAGACGCGGAACTCAACGTCCTGTCTTAAAATTCCACAAACAGCAGCATAAACATAAACACTGATCTCCAGGACAAGACCATGAGTCTATCGCCGACGAGACGTTGTTCGTTGAAATTATGGAATGTCCGCTAGTCTCATTTATTTAATGGTCTCGGAAGCTTCCATTGCCTGCGATCTTTCCAGTCCCGGAATTATCTACCTCAAGCAATATCTGGCAGCTCGAAAGCAGTCCTTGTTTGCTGGCTTGAACTGCCTATGTTCTCTCGACTACCGTAATCTACTTAGGTAGGTTCCAGTGTTACATGGCGACCACCTGCAAATTTGAAGACGAAAAGTCGTTCGAGTTGTAACAATAATGAGCCTGTCCCTGTGATGAATCATCCGAGGAAAGAATACCTACCTTAACTGCCCTTCATGGGAAGGTGCAATGGCTTCGGATTTCAAGCTTTTCATCTCGTTCCACCTAATCGAGTAATAGAAATCAATGGGACCTTATGGAACTTGGAGCAGAGAGGCTAAGCGGTGGTACAGAGGATGCTAAATTATCAGAGGCAAGAGCGACCTGGACTTGGGACACCCGCCTCGACACCATCGCTCCTTCCGACATCTTTCCTGCAAGGCACGCCAAGGTACCTTATTCTCCTCGTCACAGTCCAGGCCAAAGTCATAGGCTTTCGAATTTTCTGTCAACGCGAAGCCGTTCTTGAGTCAATCAGAGCCAAGTGTGGTCATCTCATCATTACCGCTGGGGTTTGTGTCCTTGCTCCATATGAAGTATCTATTCCTCGTGGAGGTAGGAGACAGAAGCTTCTCACAATGAATAACTCTTGTATTCATTCAGTCTCTTGCCTTAGGAATTTATTGACCATTGCTCAGGTACAGCAAAATTTCGTTTCTCCTTGACCATCACAAGCACTACCGCTGGACTCCGCAGTCGGTTTTCCTTTGTTTGCGTTTGCATACTTATCCAAGCTTTCTTCCGAACTCTCACAGACACCGAACACTTCAGCAGCAATGGTGGTGAATATGAGAACCAGTTTATCGCCTTGGCGATGCGATGCTTCACCGGCAGATGATACCAGCCCTCACTCTGTTGCCCCAGCGCTCCAGCAGCAGACAATGACAGACCTGCGTTACTCGAGTGAAATTTTCGAGGTCAGCAGAAAAGCAATCTCTCCTTCCTATCCATTGTTTTTCCTCTCTCCCTTCTTTGTACATTGTCTGACTCAGAGCAGACTTGCTCTATCCAAGTCAAGGCCGGAAATCCTCCCCCAGCTAGCATGCCTGCGTTCGCAACCACGATGTCAAACAAGAAGTCCACTGGCAAACAGGTCGCCTCTTCTGGCTCTTCGGTTCGTACGAAGAGCCGTAGAGGTCGTCTCTCTGCGCTTTTTGGCCACAGCCCCGAGCAAGTTGGCGATGCCGCTGATCACAAGACGGCCCATCAGGAGGAAGCTACGCCTACCCAGCACACCGCAATCAACCGACATGAGCATGGCAATCATCTTCAGAATTCTCCTGCTCCTCTCAAAAATAATCGCAATGAGAATGATGCTCAAGACTCCGTCGTCACCGTCATCACTACTCGTTCCATTACTACCGAAGACAAGAACGCACATGATTCCGGTGTCACAGCTTCCGCCAACAATTTTGATACTGTTGATTTCGCCAAGAAGACCCAGATCCAAGAAATCGCCGAGATCTGCGAGAGCAAGCCCTACGTCAAACTTGCTACTGGCGAGGCAATTTCCAACCCATCTCCGAGCCGTACTATGAAGCTCCCGATTCATCGCCACAAGAGGGCTTCCAGCTCTTTCAAGATCGTCGACAGGGACTCTGCTGACGCGGTGCTCCTTCCGGCTTCTTCTTACACCCCCTGCCCCAAGAATAATAAAACGCCTGTCGCGAAGCTCGACATGCAGGCGGTTCCTTATGCTCAACCTCTCCTGCACAACCACAGCCATGATCAGGAGGCTCATCAACTGCCTTCAACTACATACTCTGGCCTTGTCATCCACAATGGTAGCCCCCAGAACAAGCCCAAGGGTAATGCCCCTGTCAAGAGTGACTATAGTCTCTCTTCTCTTACAAAGCCTGGCCCTACGGTCAAGATTATGGATACCGATGAGGAGACTGCTAAGAAGCTCAATCCTCTGGCTTTCAATCCTGCTGGTGTGTCTACTCCTCTGCTCAGCGCACTCAAGACTCCAGCGTCCGATAAGTCTCCGGGCGAGAAGAAGGTCCGCTTCGCCACGGCGCCTTCTATCAAGTCTGACGGTAGCGACAATGAGAGTGGAGGCTCTGATGATTCAAACAAGACCATCAAACCTGGCCTTGGAGGCATGAAGGCGGCACAGAACTCCCTTCTATCGCCTGTGATCTGGGACAAGGGATCTGAGCCTAAGATCTGGATCAATAACGGCAAGCCCACCCTCTTCCAGCCTCAGAAGGAGCCTGGATACTACACCAACCCGCTTTGGTCCCGCCAGTATCCCGAGATTCTCTCAGACGATCCCCGAGTCAACCCCTATGCTGCGAGCTACGCTGAAAGCAGCACCTCCACAGATGGCAGCCAATATTCCGACACCCCTGCGGCACGCGCAGTCACTGAGTTCGAAGTGGGCAATAAACTCCATGTCAACGGTGATTCCAGTACCAATGTGAGCTTTGGCACAGGTACCACGCCTGCTCGCACTCCATTCACCAGAACCACTCGCATTACTATGCCTTCGCCGCCCTCTACCAACCAGAACTTTGTCGGCCGGGAGTTCCCGGACATGCCTCCTACCCCTGCTGGATTGGATATGCCGCCTTACTACAGAAGCCAAATTAAGCTCGAGATTGGTGGCCGTCGCTTCATCAGCTCCATGGAGGTTCTCGAGAGAAGCCCCTGGTTCAAGTACATTTTCTCCATCAACTTCCGCGACTGGTACCGTGATGGCGTCTTCCACTTCGACAACGACGGAGATCTCTTCGCCCATATTCTGCGCTTCCTGCGCACTGGCATGTACCCGCTTTTTTGGGATGCGCGTAACGGCTTCGACTACGCCATGTATGCGATGATCCAGCAGCAGGCTCACTTCTACATGCTCTACGATCTTGAGGCTTGGATCGCCCAACAGAAGTACCATGACGTGGTCGAGACTCAGGTCATCCACCAGAAGGTTATTATCCCGAATGATCAGGACTGGATTCATGAGCAGCGTCTCATGGGCCTTCATTTGTCAGTGATCTCCGGCGTTGTCGTCGACGCCAATGCGGTCCCCGATCACCAGGCTGAGAGCCAGGCCCCTGCTGCGGACTTGTTCGACTCCGAGAGCGGAGAGAGCTCGAAGGGCAAGGCCAAGAATGTCGCGGTTCAGCAGGTCGACCTAGGAGGTGCTGTGGCGCTTTTCACCACCGAGAAGATTGTGAAGGTGCACGTCGATCAGCTCCGTCCTATCTAAGGCTTCGACTGTGCAGCCAGTCTCACGTTTATTGTGTCAGAGTATTCGGAAATTTGATCGTTAAGAGGGACGGATTGGCACTGGATTTGTTTTGAGAACTTTGCTGCTTCGTATGCAGCTCGTTGGCCGTGGTAATGAGGGGATGGATATGGCCCCGATTTTTGTTCTCTGGAATTCCGCTTTGCTAAGACCAGGCCAAGATTCCTTGATTAAGCATTGCTTGCGATGATCAATGCAGATAGTCTCTACTCAAATGGTAAATCGCAATTCTAAACTTGAGGTATCACATTGCTCATGCCTTGGCCAAGATATGCATCATAATTCTAATCCTGGCTGAAAGACTTCGCTCCTGCCAAATTGCAATTCCTTTTCCGGCTGGTGGGAAAATTCTCTTCTTGGTTTCGATCTTGCCATTATTTGAGTAGACAGTCGTCTTCTCAATAGTGTTCACCGTTTTTTGGGCGGACAGAGTTCTTTTCTTGAGACAGCAGGTCTTTCTGATGATGGCGTGTGTGGTTCTAATCCTAATCTGATGGTGCTTCCTGTGGACTTGATGTCGCTGACGTCTGCCGGGGTTTTGAGATCCAACTCTGGCGTCCTCATGTGCTGCTCCTGTAGCATAGCGTGAGCGGGGAACTTGGTCTTCTTGAACGAATGAGGCGTTTCCTCGGCTCCAAGAGAAATTTCTGATGTGAGCTTCTTCGTCTTGCTCAACTATAGTTGTGGTTTCGCTGTTTCGAGCGGCCTGGTTCTGCACTTCTTCATTGTCTTCTTTTTCATCCTTGAGCTCTTTCTCGTTGCCCGCTCGTCCACTGGTTTGATTTCCTGCGGTTGCCATTACTTCGGTTTCGGACACTCTCACCTCTTGCATTAAGTCAAGTTGATTGTTTGCGTCCCCTTCATGCGGTTTCTCTCGGATCGAATCCCCATCTCCAGCAACATCATGTAAACCATCGACATCTTGAAGGTTTGCTTGGTTTTGCGACTCCTCTTCAACAGAAACACTGATACCATGTATCCCACTTGGAACGGTAGGTATGAATGAATCCTCTGCTACAGTTGATATCGACCATCTCAACGTCGAAAGCGTGCTCTCTGCTGGATCTACCTTCGGGTAGTTGTCATTGAAGTTCGTCAAGTCACCGTAAGCACTGTTTATTCTACCTTTTAACTGCTCATTGAACCTCTGAGCTAGGTCCAGGCGGCCACCGACGGATGGCAGTTTCCATGACGGGTATAGCCTCCCGTGGCAGCGAGACGTGTAGAAAGTCTTTTCTGCTTCAATAAAAGCGTTGCAGAGATAGCACGCGTCTTTGCTGGAGCGAATAACTCTGGGCGGCAGCTCTGAGCGACGTTCCTTGAGATGATAGTGGTATATCAGCTGAACTTCGGCATGAACCTTTGCGCTCTGTAATATGTACTTTGCCTGCTTTTCGAATAGAACGGTGGCATCCTGTAAAGATGGCCGTGAAATATTCCAAGCATCTCTGAGGCTTTGGTCGGGCTGATTGGAAACTCCGTTCCTCGCCAGAGCGGTAGCCAGTTCTGGGTACCTTCCACGATCCGAGATTCGATCGTAAGCTCCTGGACTGAAAGTCGTGAGGTTCACCGTCACCACTTTCGCGCATCTTGCGATTGGGTATTTCTTGGCAGTCCGGTAAATATGCCGGGAGACCTCTCTATACCGTGCGACCTTGAGGATCATGTTACACAGACTCGACTTCGAGCCCGGGTCCATTTCTCTGTGAGGTATCATGTGGATAAGCTTTTCAAATTGGCCGATTCGTGAAAGCTGAAAGATGTCTTGAACCAACGGCTTAAGCATCGATGGATTCTGGTATCTCCTCCATTTCCTGAGTGACTTTGTAGCATCGCGAGCTCTGGCCAAGAACTTTTGGGACTGTGTTGTGCTGTTACCCGGCCGAGTGAAGTATAGATCGAGCGTTTCGAGCAGCTCCTCCATCGACTTTCGTTTCTTCGTCTGGCGTCCCCGTGGACCCCCAACTCGTGGTTGTTCCTCGCGGATGCGGTTCAGAATCCGTTCGTAGCACATTTCAACAACTTCCTCGAAAACCCAATCATCAATTTCAGACCTTTTGTTGCTGGAGTCTGCCAATACTCAAATCAGCTCCTGTATCTAGGCACCCAAGGAAGACAACAGCGACACTTGCCGTTTAGGCTCTGCAACTGCAGGAAGATTTCTTCGAATCCACGCTTGATGTCCTCCAAAATCTCCTCACCATTCATCGGGCTCTTTTTGTTTACGGCCACCACAATTTCCAGGCGTCGCTGGTCTGGTCGTTCTTCAATGTAGACAGCGGGAATGAAGTCCGGATTCCCATCGATGCTGGCCAGGAACGCAAAAGCACCGCAGAGACTGCGCTCCCTATGGAACTTAAGCGTTCTACCTCTTTCTTCAGTTGGTTCTGGTGTTCGCCGGTTCGGCTGGGGATCGTGCTGACGCTTGCCTAAGAGATACAATAATGAAATGTTCTCGGCGCAAGCAACAGCCGCAACGCCAATTCTATCGGCCTCACTCATTGTGGTTCAGAAAGGCCCTTGCCATGAGGTGGCTGCGAGGGAATACAGTAATTAGCCTCATTGATCAGCGCTTGATATGTGTGTCGCCAGTTATAAGTTTTGGATTCGAAGCCGACAATATGTCGGACCTTGCGCATTAGGTAGGACTCCGTGCTTCTAAATAAGTACGATTGTATAGTAAAAACGAAGTGGTGAAACACATCAGTGGTTTTGTTCTCCATACTTTATGCATACCAATACATCAGGGGCGGCGCTCTATCATGGCACCAACGAATCAGTGATCATTGCCGACCTCCTTTCTTCGAACAACCTGCAGGAGGCCGACCAAACCATGGCCTAGAGGCGAGGGGTACTTCTACGTGGCGAGGGATTCGAAAGCTTCACGGATCGCGTCATGTCATTCATTAATTTAGATAAGAGCAGACAATGCTACTGTGCAGGGGAGAAGGCGTTCACATTGTAGCGTTAGCTTGTCGCCCTGGAGTTCGCTCAATGAGGGAATCTACCGCTCTCCGTATCCGCATCCGCATCGGGGTCCGAGATCCACCAGCTCAGCCCCGGCGACCCCCATGCTGCACCGTGAGAATTATCATTCAAGACGCTGGGAAGGCGCTGGTTTCCGCGTCTCCAGCTCACTACAACTGGCGTCACTCAGGGCCGTGTTTTTTTGGCATGAGGAAGAGAGGATAATGCTGTTCTGAAGTTGAATTGGAATTTTCCAATACAAACCGCTGGGCTACCTACCTTATTATCCTTTGTTCTTGCTTCCCGATTCTGGATCTCCCTGGTCTGCGGGGAAACATTCCTCAAGAGCGCTGGCTTAGTCGAGAAATGAACCTAGAATGGGGAAACAAGAAACTGGAAAAGGGAGCAAACACTCATTATGCAGCATGCGCCTGGTCTCCAACGCGTATTCGGGTCCGTGGGAAACTGGCGAGGAGGCTTCGTCTGATACGTCAACGGTATCACATGCAGCTCCTTGAGAACGGCCTCGCAATTGACGCATAAAGGCAAGCCGTGCATCATCTTCTTCTATCTGAGGTTCTTTGTTTGGCCAAATACTTACTCATTCCGGCTGCGGGTTTCTTTCAAATCTTATCTTGCACACAAAATCAATTCAAAAGCATACGTCCCGTCGCCTCATCACGACAGCTAAACGACGAAACATTGTAGACTGCGACTCAACGATACACCGGCCCCGCGGCATCAATACTCCTGAACCTTCATCAAGATATGTTGAACACTACAGTAACCTTAACCCACACCTCTCCGGTGCCGGCAGGCCTTTCGCGCGAGGACGCCGTGGCCCTCATCCACGACGCGGAGCACCAGATCAAGTGCGACCCCAACATGATAGACTACACTAAGCGCTCGCCCGAGATACCGCCCACCGTGCCAAAGGACATTGAGCCCATCGCCGCGACGCAGTGCTTCTCCGTCACCGATAGCGTGCCCACGATGCTGCCCAAGGCCATCTGGGACCGCGACGCCGTCAGCGACTACGACTTCACCTTTACCAAGGACGGCAGCTTCGTTCGCACGAGCTGCCCGCTCAGCGTCCTGCTAGAGACGCGCTGGCGCGTAAAGGATGCCGAGAGCGGGGACGGGTTGGAGCTGGAGGAGGTTGTTGAGATTAGGTGCTCCCGTCTTCTGGCTGGTGTTATCAAGTCGCAATGTGAGATGAAATGGAAGGATTTCCACAGGAAAATTCTGCAAGGCAAGGAATGATCAACTAAAGAGGGGCAAGTGTCAGAGAGGTGGGAAGACCTAAAGTAATGTACCAGATTTGCTTGTAGATGGCAGACGCGGAGATGGAGCACGGGGAGATTCATATTTGAGCAACGTCTGACTTGAGAGGTGTACTTTTATTGTACGGTAATGTGTTGTCTCCAAACCTCACATTAAACTGCTGCGCCCACCAATTTCCATGCTTCCCTGGCCATCCTTCATCTCACCACTCCGACCAACAACAAATTCTCGGTAAATCCTTTGCAATCTGGCCCGTTCCTGCGTGCTGATACTCGATCTGGTGCTTTCCAGGGCTTTCATCAAGTGCTCTAGCTTAACCACAACCTCCTTGTCATTCACTGGTTTGGCATCCCCTTCTGGGCGTTGAGAGTGCTTAACCCTCTTACGGGCAAGTTTGAGGCTTTCCAACTTGGCAAGGACTGCGGCGTTTTCAATGAGCTCTTGCTGCCGGCTGATTGTCTTCGAAGCAGGTGTGGCGTCTTGGCCGTAGCGGAACTGTACGAAGCTGGGGACAGAGCCTTGAGAAGACGACTTGCCATTAACCTTGCCGTTCGTCGTTGGGCCATGGCTGACATCGTCTAGAACGTCGTGGATCGCCTCTAATTGGGAGTTGGACACAAGGGCCTGAAGATCGGCACCGGAGAAACCCTCAGTTGTCCGTGCGATATCAGTCCATGCGTCGTCGGACTCTGTCAATTCCTTGCTGAGCTTGACCTTGCTGGAGAGTGACTTCAGAATGTCGACTCGATCTTCCAACATCGGCATGTCGCAGAGCAGAGATTTGTCTAGACGTCCGGGGCGGAGAAGAGCAGGGTCGATTAAGTCTGGTCGGGATGTTGCTGCAAGCACGTAGACCCCGGAAAGGCCTTCCGCTCCGTCCATCTGGGTAAGGAGCTGGTTCACTACCCTGTCTGTGACACCCGTCGAGTCGTGGCCACGTTTTGGAGCGATAGAATCGAACTCGTCAAAGAACAAAACGCATGGCTTCGCAGCCGACGCGCGTTCGAAGAGGTCGCGGACACTCTTCTCAGACGCTCCGATATACTTATTAAGAATCTCAGGTCCCTTGACGCTAATGAAGTTGAGACCGCATTCTCCAGCAACGGCGCTTGCAAGCAAGGTCTTGCCGCAACCGGGGTATCCGTACAACAGCAGACCGGACCGCAATCTGAGTGGACACTGCTCGAAGATTGGTGCGTACTTTGTTGGGTACTGCAAAGTCTCCAATAAAACCTTGCGAGTCTCTTGCAGCCCGCCGATTGAGCTAAACGTGGTGGTTGAGTGTTGTAGGGAGACATTTCTCAGTGAGGCAGGTGTGAACCCCTTGAGGGCATTGTCAAAGTCGATGCGACTCAGATGGACTGCACTTCCCTCGCTATCCGTGTCGTTAACAGACCTGATAATAGCCTCGTTTCGTGCTCTGGCCACAAGTAAGGTGATATCTCCAGGCATGTAGCCATCGATGAGACCAGCAACGTCCAGGAAGTCCAAGTCGGGGTCCAGAATGAATCCTCCACTACTGCTATTCTGATTCTCGCGGCTACCTTGGCTGCCAGCGTCCATCCATGCGCTACCCTCCCCTACCGCGCTGCCGTCGGCTGTAGGTGGACGGCTGCCGTTCTGGGGTGCTCGTGGAAAGATCTCAGCAGCGACGGCATCTCGTCTGACAATACTTTCCATGACCTTTCGTCTCGCCTCCTTGTTTGGTGCCTTCAAGTCGACAATCTCTCGGACGACATGGCCCCCAATGATCACATTGTTCAAGGAATCTTTACCCTCCGACACTGCCAGTAGAACCACCCCAGTCTCCACGTTGCAGTACTGGCGTATAATCGAGCAAATGATTTCGCTGATTTGCCGGCTTCGTCCATTGTCGTTACCGACTTGTAACTCGGTTTCCACAGGACACAGCTTGTCAAGATCGTCCAAGACCACGAGTGCCTTGCCCCCTAGCCTGGCACCCCAACTGGCTGACATGAATACTTTGTTCAAAGTATCTTTAATAGTTGCGATTCGTGTCTCGTCATTGACGAGCTTTCGGCATGGGAAGTAGGTTGTATGGAATAGAAGTTCTTTCCCAAGCTGCTGAGCCAAAGACCTGGCAACGGCGGTCTTGCCAGAACCCAGAGCGCCGGTCAGCAGAGTGGAGGAAAGGTGCGAAAGGTGACTTCGAAGATCTTGTAGCAGCTTATCAATGCCAACAAGCTGACCATCGTCAGACGGCTGCAGCTCGGCGATGCTATCGTCCTTCATCCACGACGGTCGGGGAACCGGGTCTCGAATATCGACGGGAATTTTCTCGCTCAGGCCCATGACCCATCTTGTTGATGATCTGAGCGGATCGCTATTGATGGCTGGCGGATCGAACTTGATGATACCGCCTTCCCAACCTTGGGGAGCCTCCAGGCCCTCGAAAAGACCAATTACAGACCCATCTGTCAGAGGCCCACTGATGAGGGGGGCAACATCTTTGCGAGCGTAGAGATGCCTGAACTGCTTGGACGCCTCCTCCTTACCAGCCTTGGACTCGCCGCCGAACTTCAATCCCTCTGAAGACTTTTTGGAGGCAGCAAATGGTTGGACGATCAACTTTGTAACGGCGTCCAGAGACCATTGTTGCGGCGCTGGTTCGATCTTGACAATCCCTCCAACGGATCCAGTGAAGCCCAATGTCGCACACAATGCCGGAGAGAGGGCAATGGTCTTACTGTCGGGTGGGTCGTCCCAAGCGCGTAGATGTGCGACAACTTTAGTGGCTACTTTTGATGTGCTTGCAATTTGTTCGGCGTCTTGGGGTTTCTGAGTGGAACTTGCTTGTGGTGTAGGTCGCAGAATGTTGACCGACACATAATTTACGCCTCGAAAGTCCTTGGTGTACAGAATGTCGCGATCTACCCAAACGCTGAAATCTTGGGTAGTTAGGTCCTCGTCGAACCAATCCCGGCAAGCCGAATGGGCGATCCCGCGCAGGCAAAGTGCAGGCTTGCGCTCTTCTCGCGCACTACGCCGCCGAACTGTACTCGCACCACTTCGCTTGGACTTAGAGGTGCTTGCCACACTACGATTCTCTCCTAGGGAGTGTGCTGTCTTGGCCCGGACCTTCGGCGCAACAATGACTTCAGCGTCGGGGGAGATTTTGACGAAAGGAACTTCGGCCCCGGGTGCGGGGTCAAGGGAGACTACTTTGATGTTTGCTGTCGACGTTGGTGAAAGGTGTAGAGTCAACGCGTGAGGAGCCACTACCGAGCCAGAGCTCGAAGTGAACGCGGGGTTCGGCAAAGCTCGTACTTGGGACAGAAGGTTCAGCTCGAGAAATGTTGCATGTAGCTCGATCATTTCCCAGTCTTCCGGGGTGAGCGGTTCTATGTTAATTGTATGTGCGACAGGTGGATCGACGTGTATTGAAGCCGTAACCTGTTGTCCGTCGGTGAGGCTCAGCGTATTGGCCAACGTCGCGTCGATCTCGACCTGCGCCAATTCCTGATCGCGCGCCGAAGCGCCTCCTCTAACACCATTGATGCCATCGCGTCCGACTATGCTTGCAACCTTGCGCTTGCTCGGCATGCCCGTCCACCCAACGAAGACGGACCGTTGTTGTGATGCGCCGGACCCGGAGGCGCTCGCGGAAGGCCGGTAACTCAGTTCGACAACGACATTCTGTGCGGGCTGTAGGATATCTGATCAGAACAAGAATCGCTTGTGATGAGTGATTGAAGACCTACTGTGTTGACGTTGACGAGGAGTGAGACCAACGATGCGGGGAGATTGACAAGGCAGTTCTTGAGATGGGCAATGGAGATCTCCGCCGGAATCGACTGCGCATTGCGCCGGGAAGACATGACTGTAATTAAGTCTCTTTTAGGTGTCCATAAGAATGCGGGAGGAAAGAGAGCGACGGAATCTACAGGGAGAGCACAAAGCAATAGCAACAGATATCGTTACGGAAAGTCACCGGAGCTCGAGCTGTTGGAGCTGGGGATGGGAGTTCAGCCGAAAGTAACCCTGGCATGTGCCGACGCCGAGGCAGTCCCGGCATGGGAAAGACACCTCCACTCCCATTGGGTCCGAACACGGGGTAAGGTAGGTAGGTACCTAGCTACAGCCTGCAGGAGGATGGTACGTATATTTCCTGCTATTAGCGGCTTCATGCAGGTGCACAGCTTGCGCCCCAGGAACTACTTTACGCTGTGTGGCTGCTCCCGGAAATCAATTAAACCCTGTGGCTCAACGCGTTCTCCCTTTCCAAGCGCGACGCGTTCTGCGTGTCGCCCGGCCAATTTCTGAACCCCTGGTCGCATTGATCTCACATTCGATTCTTCCCAGCCCCCCACCCGGCGCCAAATAATCTTCAATTCGACAGCAGCATAACTACCAAGTTAACTCCCCGCATTTGTCGCAGCGCCGAAGCATAGCCATCTCATCGCTGCACCGCTGTTGTCGAATACGTGAATTGTCTACCGAGACTGAAGGAAGGCCCACAGCCGAGATCGCACATAGTCTGTCAAGATGGCACTCCGTCAGTTCAAGGCGCCAGTAGCGTACGAAGCGCAGCAGAGTATGCTTTACCCTTTGATGCTCTTCCCGCACCGCCGTCACAACCGTGCTGACCTGCAATAGCTGCACTTGAATCCTTCCTCTCAGACTTCAAGGCATCCCCCGAGCAAACGATTTCGCATGCCCTTGGAAACATCACGATAGACGAGGATGACTTCAGCGACGATGAGGTGATGGAGGATGACGAGACTCGCGGGACCCGCCGCCAGATCAGGACTCCGCCCGGGCCAAAATACAAGGTCATGATGCAGAAATTGGCAGACCGCCAGATCGATGAGGTCTTGATTGATCTGGACGACTTGGCGAGTGTGGGTTGCCCTGGCTCCCCCTATCAAGTTCACAGACTGACTCTCGCAGTTCGAGACATCACTCGGCGATGAACTTCAGCTTGTCCACTCTATCGAAATTAACACCAAACATTACGTCGAGTTGATGTCGAGAGCGGTCGACAAGCTCATGCCTCAACCCAGTGAAGATGTCACGTCGGTTCCCCAGCACCTGTCGTCCCGAGACATCTTGGCTAACAGTCGATAGTTTCAAGGATGATGTGCTGGACGTTCTCATGGAGCGGAGAAAACAGAGAAACGACATCTTGCAGAGGCAGGCCACCGAACCTGTCGATGGCCAGCTGCCCGACCCTAGCATTGCTGAGGACAAGTTTCCCGCCGAGCTCACACGCCGATATTCCCTCGTTTTCAAGCCCCGATCTGAGACTCCCTCCCACCCCGCCAAAGCGCTTGCCGTGCGAGAGGTCAAGGGCGAGCAATTGGGCCACCTTATCACTGTCCGAGCCATTGCTACAAGAGTTTCCGACGTCAAGCCCATCGTACAAGTTAGCGCATACACTTGTGATCGCTGCGGTTGCGAAATTTTCCAACCCGTCAACGACAAGTCATACGGCCCCCTGACTGTATGCCCGTCCGAGGACTGTAAGACAAACCAAGCCAAGGGTCAACTCCACCCTTCTTCAAGAGCCTCAAAGTTTTTGCCCTTCCAGGAGGTCAAGGTCCAGGAACTGGCTGAGCAGGTGCCCATCGGTCAGATCCCCCGAACTCTGACTGTGATGTGTTACGGCACTTCCGTGCGCAAGGTGAACCCCGGTGACGTTGTCAACATCTCTGGCATCTTCCTCCCCACACCCTACACCGGCTTCAAGGCGATGAAAGCCGGCCTCTTGACCGATACTTACTTGGAAGCGCACCATATCGTTCAGCACAAGAAAGCCTACTCTGAGATGATTGTCGACCCTGCTCTGGTTCGTCGCATCGACCAGTACAGACAGTCCGGTCAAGTCTATGAGCTCCTCGCCAAGTCCATCGCCCCCGAAATCTTCGGCCACCTCGATGTCAAGAAGGCCCTTCTCCTGCTCCTCATTGGTGGTGTGACAAAGGAGGTCAAGGACGGCATGAAGATTCGTGGTGACCTGAACATTTGTCTCATGGGTGACCCCGGTGTGGCCAAGTCGCAATTGCTCAAGTACATCTCAAAGGTCGCCCCTCGTGGTGTCTACACCTCTGGTCGCGGTTCCAGTGGTGTCGGTCTTACGGCCGCCGTTATGCGAGACTCTGTCACCGATGAGATGGTCCTTGAAGGCGGCGCCCTCGTCCTCGCTGACAACGGTATCTGCTGTATCGATGAATTTGACAAGATGGACGACAACGACCGCACCGCCATCCACGAGGTCATGGAGCAGCAGACCATCTCCATCTCCAAGGCCGGCATCTCCACCACCCTTAACGCCCGCACTTCTATCCTTGCCGCCGCTAATCCCATCTACGGCCGCTACAACCCCCGCATTTCCCCTGTTGAGAACATCAATCTTCCCGCCGCCCTCCTCTCCCGTTTTGACATCATCTTCCTCCTCCTCGACACCCCGACCCGCGAATCCGATGCCCAGCTCGCCAAGCACGTCGCCTACGTTCACATGCACCAACGCCACCCTGACATCGGGACCGACTCGGTCGTCTTCTCCCCTCACGAGGTCCGCTCCTATGTCGCTCAGGCCCGTACCTATCGGCCCGTTGTCCCCGCCTCCGTCTCCGAGTACATCGGCAAGACGTACGTCCGCATGCGTGGCCAGCAGAAACGCGCCGAGAAGAAGGGCGAGCAATTCACCCATACTACCCCGCGTACCCTCCTTGGTGTCGTACGTCTCGCACAGGCCCTCGCCCGCCTGCGCTTCAGCAATGAGGTCACCCACGACGACGTCGATGAGGCCCTGCGCCTTGTCGAGGCCTCCAAGGAGAGTCTCGCAGCCGAACAGGCCGCCAATGGACGCCAGCGTCTCAACGCTAGCAGCAGGATCTACAACCTGGTCAAGACTCTTGCGGACAGCGGCGCCTGCCGCGCCGACGATGCCGAGGACGATGATGAGGAGCTCGGTGTCGAACTCAGTCTTCGAAAGGTCAAGGAGCGTATTATCGCCAAGGGTTTCACTGAAGACCAGTGGCTTGCGGCTCTGGAGGAGTACAATGATCTTGATGTGAGTTTCTTTTACCAATTATCATTATGTTCATTGATGAACCCTGCTAACGATTTACCGACTAGGTCTGGCAAACGGCTGGAAATGGTACGAGGCTGGTCTTCATCACCTCCAACGGCGCAGAGAGGGACGAATAAAGAATCTCGTGGGTGGTGTGGGAGTCGTCTTGTCGCGGTGGTTGCGTAGTGTTCTTTACAAATGATTGTCTTCTCATGGTTCGCTTCGCAAAAAGAAGCCCTCGGGACCTGGCGTTTGGTTGAATGATTGAAGAAGAAAGAGAAACATCTTGGCGGAGTATCTTAGTGGACGACTGATCGGGTCGTACGAATGAATAAAAAGTAATGAACCCAGCCTCGACTGCTGACTTTTACAAGTGATGCTTGCTTGGCTCCACGTTTTGTTAGCGGGAGCATCATGTGCTTTAACAGATTGGAATCTCCATGACTTTAGATGATATGGTTGTATAATACAAAATCTTTCACCTCCTCCTACAGCAGGCATCTTGTTAAACTAATACATGTATACACGTCTCATTCCTCCTTTTCCCCCGATCTCTCTCCTTTTTAACACTCACTTTAGTTCTGCAACACACGCGAGTTGAGCAAGCTCGCCCGCTCCAACTCGCCAAGGACGCCGCCACCGGCAATGGTCCACTTCTCAGCGACAGTCACCTCATCGATGCGCGCGCGCATCAGTCCGCTGGCGGCCCAGTACTCCATGACGGCGCGGGCCTCCTCGCGGCTGATGCCGCTGACGTCGAAAGTCTCGACGCTGCGGACGGCCTCGTAAACGCGGTCGTCATAGCCCTTGAGGTACGGGTCGGGCGTGGGAACGAAATTGTCCGCAGCGGCGGCGGCGGATTGTGCGAGGGCGAGCTCCATGGAGGGGGAGCGGGGCGCGTTGCTGCGGCTCGTGGCGCCGATGATGGCGCCGCCGTTGGCAAGCGGGGTCTTGCCTGAGAGGGCGTCGGCGAAGAGGCGGACAAGGGTGAGGTCGTGGGAGTGGACGAGCTTGTAGGACGGGTCGCGGTAGGCCGAGATCTTCATGATGTGGGAGAGGCCGTCCAGGGAGAGGAGGACGGGGGGCCCGTTGGGGTTGGTGGTGAGCTCGTGCCAGAGGGCCTGGAAGGCGGGCCAGGCGAACTCGGGCTCCTTTGCGGCGTTAGCGATGTCGAGGAGGGTGCCGTTCTTGGGTACATGGAGGAGCTCGGGGTACTCCTTTGAGATCTTGTACTGCTCCAGGACGGGGCCGCTGGTCTTGACGATCGTCTGGAGGAGGTCGAAGGTGTAGGTGGGTTGGTAGAACTGGAGGGGGTTGGTCCTTGGCACGGGACTGTAGTCTGCGTTGGAGTTGGTGAGGTCTTGGGCTGTATTTTCGGTTAGTTGGCACCGCTTAAAAGTCGTCCAGTAAGAAATACCATACCTTCGGGGATGTTTATGACAACCCAGTTGTTCATCAGCGAGTGGGCCATGGCCTGCAGCAACAACATGCTCTTTCCGGCAATCTTGCCGCCCGTCAACACCATCCGCAGCGTCTGCTTCTCCTTGACGGCGCCATCCAGTCTACTCGCGAGCTTGACAGTCTCCTCCCTGACCAACATATGCGGCCTCCGGAACAGGCCCCAGTTCTGCGTCGTCTTGAACGCCTCGAGCGCCCTGAGCTGATCGACCAGCTTGTCCGGCAGGCCAACGACGGACCCCTTGTTCTCCGCCGCGGCCAGCGTCTCGCTGGTGATCTCCTTGAGGCCCTCGACGGCCAGGGCGTTGTTGTTGCTCAGCGTAATGCGCTTGCGGAAGGCCTTTC